TCTTACATATTTGCAGCACTAGTTGCACTTGCGATTCCCCAGTTGATTCCTCTGCTAGGACTTCTCACAGCGATAAGCATGACCACGATTATGCTGCTGGTTCCTGTAGTTATTGAAACAGCAACGAAATGGGAGAGAGCTACGCGATTTCTTTTGGTAAAAAATATCAGCATTTCCGTGGTCTGGGTACTGTTAATGGTGAGTGTCAAGAGCTGTTTATACGCAATTCTCCCCGCTTTTTTTTTTTTATCATAATTTCCAGACGCTTTATGCAATCTTCAATGTTGCACAATGTAGATATGTCTTGAAACGTCTGAAATTTGCAAGTAACGGTATAGATAAACCATGTGCACAGAATTATACATTTGAATTGGTATACTAAATCTCGTTTCGCTGCGTTCTGACACAACGTGCCTTTTAAATCTTATAATTTTTAAATTTTATCGTCTTGTAATTTCTCAATTTTGTAATTTCATAATTTTGACATTTTAGAATTTCAGAATTTTTATATCTTAGAATTGTAGAATTTCAGAATTTTTACATTTTATAATCTTACGATTTAAAAATTTTTTACGTTATATCGTAAATTATATTGTGGCAAATCTATTTTGAACGAATCAAACGATACTAATACGATATTATAACTGAAAAAATGATTATAGTTTCGTGAAATTATTTCTGTCTCTCTAATTTTCACTTGTACAAGCTAAATATCGAATGTTTCAGAAATTTTCAACTAACTTTCCCATAAAAATTGCTAAAATATTTATCGACAAACATTAAGTCCTCAGTACGTTCTTTACATCGAGATAATGAAAATGAAATGAAACCAGCTGAAAACAAATCTTATCAAAATTTAGATGAAAATTTTCCAAAACTCTGGGTAATTGGAATGTTTTGACTCGAGTGCTCGGTATTACATGTTGAGATAATTATCGAGCGCATCGAGCGAAAGATGTTTATCAACATTGGCTTCTTCAAGAGAGACTTGCTATTGGTTAACAGTGAAATATCGATTTCAGTCGATGATAATCATAGTGGACTAATCTTTAGAAGTACAAGTGTCACCTTTCTGTCCCTTACATCGTCAATTTTCGGGTGCAGTACTTCGTATGCAAAATCACGTGTTATACCGTTAACATAGTTGCTTATCAGCAGTTATTTTTTCACGAATTAAGTAAAAATATCAATTTGAACGATTTCATATGTAAGAAGTATCTTACAGAACGCAGAATATTTTCCAATTAGGCGTTTCAACTGTCTCTGTTTTTAACCCAGTAATTAAAAATTGTTTTTTCAATCGTTTCAACTCGAATCCCATTTTTCATCGTCCAAGTATTCTCAAAATATTGTTTCAGGCACTTGTTTCTTTAAATTGAACGAAAGATAATTGAAACAAATTCTTTTACTGAAATTTATGGTAGATACTTAAATTATGTATAAAATGAAATTACAATATCATCAGTATTATCTTGTAGATAATAACTGAAGTTGTTCAATTTTTCTTAATTCAAATATTTCATAATAATGTAATTACAAGAGAAAGGCAAACCAGAAATTTTGCAAATAGACGTATGACAAATAACGTAGACAGAAAGAAAGCGTTAAAAATAATTTTCTATCAAATAAACTTCTGATTTTTTATCTTTTGTTAGACAACCGGAGTAATTGAAAGCACGATGTCCATTATTAGGGAGTACGGTGGTCGGAAACAGAAAGGGTGCTGATTGTGTATTCTAATTGAACTGGCGAAAATGAAAACAGTGTCTTCTGTTACTTTTGTATCTAGGTTTGATGAAAACACAGTTATACAAACCAAAAATATATATTCCATGTTGCAAATTTATTAATCTACTGCTTCTTACTAAACAGTTTGTACTAAACATTAATTAGAAACATTGACAACGAACCGGAAAGGGTAAACGTAAATACTCTGGCAAGAATCATCTTTGAAATATCGCTTTGTTGTGCAATATTAGAACGGAAACGTAAATAGGGATTTTAATGAAAAATTACCAAGGAACACATTTACGTATTTTCTAATTACAGAGATCGATTAAAACCTGCTTGTGCGGCGTAAACGTCAGAATGGAACTGCATCATCATAGAGAAAAGATCTTTAGATCCAGGAAATTCGTATGCAAATGAGTAACGGTGAAGAAAAATCCTACGCAACAACAACACGTTCGTCCGTTGTAAATCGCGAGGCGTAATTTACACGGTTTATTAAGTCAGAATGATTCATTCGAAGCGTAAAACGTCGGTTAGAATATTTGCACGAGCAGTTACAGAAATGCGAGTGCATTTTACTTAATATCCTTTCATCGACGATGAATTAGCAAGTTTACAAAAAAATATTTGTACATTTTCCAGTTACCCATTAACACCTTTTCCCTTTTTTCACCGCGAAACCTTCGTTTTCTTTCTCTCAGCAGATATTTTTCGCTACATTTTGCCAGACAGATATCGTTTTCGTTATTATTTCTTTCGAACACGAGGTATGAATCACGCGAGATATATTAAAAGGCGCGAATAGAAGTGTTTTATGACAAAAGTATCACGCGCTACATTTTCAAGTCTGAATAAGAAACGAGGTTCGTTAACGCTTTTTCATGTAAATGAACGAGTGATGCGTCTGCGGAAGAATGCATTAACTTAAATGCACACCAACATCATTGCCCCTTTTCTCTCTGCACATTTGCAAATAGCAACCGTATTCTCTAATTAACCCTTTTCTTCCAGTAATGTTTCGACACTTCAACGATCGACGATTGTAAACAGAGTTTGTCGTGAAAGATTTCGAAGAAAGCGGGCTAATTCCGGCCGTTTTAAATTTTTTAAACAAAAATCGCCTGATTTGACTTTGTATGGTATCTCGTATTGACGCGGCTAATTAGTATTCATCGTTTCTGCGACTGTGGCAGCCTTTTATTTCGAACAATACCTGAACGTTCATTTTGCAACGTAACCTTGTAAGAGTGGGCAATTTCCAAGCGAGATAAATTAGTACTTGGAATCGACGTAAATTATTAATATCAATCTCATTGTATAGAGAAATGTTTCTACTTTCAGAGACACAGTTGTTTTTGTTTTGATGTGTAAATTCAATTCGGTGTGTTACTTGGAATATCTGAACACTAGGCGTGGGGTAATTCCAGCCAGCTTTTTACATTGCAAAGAATTGAGAAAGGTAGTTTATATTTACATTACATTTACAGTAGTTTTCATCGTATTTACGTTATTTCAAGTTATGGTTTTGCAAATGAAAATATTTGTAGTGTTGCTACAAAAAATGGAAGAAAACCGAGAAATCCAGTTAGCAAGAAAAAGTGAAACCACTGCTAACTACTGTTTTAATTTTAAAACAAAAAGTAATACAATCTTTTAGTAATTTAATAGTGTGCTCTCTGAGTTTATGAATCCACAGTTTCATAATCAACGACCTGCATCAATTTATTTGCAAAATTTATCAAATTTTACAGTTTGATCAGGAATGAATTATTAGAATGTACTTATTAGAATTATTGGGTTCACTGTACTTGGGTCAAAAATGACCCAAAGACCCTATGTGTAACACTTTTCGTTACCAGCGCGTCGTGTGAACCTAGACAAGAAACTTTCGATATAATATTAACACTTTAAGCGCCTAAATGCGTTTTTGCATGTTTGTGTAGAAAAAGATATAGCTCTTGAACAGCAAGTGGCTGAATATTTATATCGTTAAAAATCGTCGCTGTGCCTGTAACAAGCACTATGTAAAATTTTCGAATAGAAATTTTCTACTTTCCCAACAGTTATTTTATCTGATTTTCTAAAAATGCACGCTTCTACAAAACTCGTAAATGGCGCTTTGAGTGAAGTTTCCAGCAAAACCGGCGCGTTAAGTGTCAAGGTAGCATAAACTCGATAACAGCAAAAGTTATGGAAGAAAATAAAGCGACGGGTCAAAAAAGACCCGAAAACTGCACCAGGGTAAAAAAAACAACAGACATGAACCCAAGAATGATCGAGAATAACTCCTCCACCATGAAACTCTCCGTCATTAGCAATTTTCAAACTGAACGTCATTATCTATCATCGCTATCTTCTCCGCCTGGGAATTCCTCGTTCCTCCGATCCGTCACTTAACCCTTTCCCCGTCCGAGCCGTGTCTCGCACGTCTCTCCCGGCGTAACCGTAACTCGCGTCGGAACTGTATCAGCACGTCGTCGTGATCCACGGACCGCCTTGCACCACTTACGCAACGTTCGAAACCGCGAAGCGGGTCGGCGGCAGGAGGAAAGGAAAAAGAGTTCAGGAGATCACCGGTTGTTGTTTCTGGAGAGAGGGGTGGACGATGGTGTTGGAGAGAAGGTCTGGCTGGCTGGTGCGCGGTTCGCCGAAGAGAAGAGACTGGTCGGCATGGTAGGAGTTAGGAGGGAAGGTGAAAGGGAGTAGGCGAAATGCAGACGGTGCAAGATCGTCCAGGTGGAGCAGACTCGATCGCGTTCCCCCAGTGGCCCTGTGTACGCGCGATCATCGCGATGCTAAGGACAACCGACGCGTACGACCGACCGTCTCAACATGAGCACGTCCGATAGAACTTATTAGGAGGACGGCCTCTATCTCCCCTCCCACACGTCGCGACGTCGATTCTAGCGGGACGCCTATACACACCAGTTCGTATATATACCTGCGTAACGCCGAAAAAACCTGACCAGTCGTGTGCGACGCCTGTCACCGTTTCACGCGCGGATTTTCCTTGCACCGCGAGCCATCCTCGCGAGATAACACTCTTCCCCGGGGTGAACGAAGAAATTACCCCTTTAGTAACCCCCTTCCCGATCCTCTTTTCTTTCTTTCTTTCTCTCCCCCCCGAGTGAATCGTTGAGAACGTCGAAGAGAGGAGAAAAAACAGTGTTTGGAAGAACCGAGGAGTGTTTCGAGGCGAGACGTGAAAGAGTTGGAAAAAGTGACGTTTATGAATAAACGATTATATCGTCGTCGATGACAGTGACGAAGTAACAGAGTTGGAAGACGTCAACGACAACGCTAACTCGAGGCACGTGGAGATTCAACGTTTCGATACTTCTCGGGAATTCCCAAGCCTTTCGAAGAAAAACAACGGACCCTCTGTTGGTAGTTTTTGCATAGAATTAACGAGAATTGCCTACGAGACGGTGAGATAGAAGAAGTCTCTGTGTGAGTCTACTATCTCCAGACCATCGTTGAGACCAATTATCAACAGCGATAAGGAGAAATCCCTCGCTGCAATTGAGGGATTTGTTGGTGGAAACAGCAGTTCGTACGGGTGCAATTCAGGTGGATGATCGTCCGGTGTTACAATAACGTTAATCTGTTAAGATCCTTCGTGTTGGTGAAAGAAGAAGAGAAGAAGATAAGAGAGCTGAGATAATAATTGAAATTCCGCGGTGAATCTGGATATAAGGTGAGGAGAGAGAAGGATTTCGGGGGAGAAGCGGATTCCTCGAGGATGTGAATTGCAAGTTGCCGAAAGATCGAACATCCTTGTTTATCTTCGCGCAGAGGAGAACTTATCCGTAGTCAGGAAGTCGTCAACGTTGTTTCCTTTTTTACCGTCTTTTTGCCTCGAGGATCTGAAATTAACGATCGAGAATACACGTGAGTAGAATTTATGCAAAACCTAGTTGGAGATTTATTTATACGAACCGGAAAATCGTTTAACGGTGGTGAGCACGCAGCTGCAACCAGTTTGATGGTCTGTGTTACGCAATGGAGTCGGACTTTCGACGAGTATGTAGCGAGATCGAGATTCGTTTCGCGATTATCGGCAGACATTTGTTGATCATTATCGCCTCTCAGTGGTCTTAGGAATCTTCGATCGGGGAGGATCGACACGCCGCGAGCGATCAGATTTGTGCGGCGCGCAATTTAACGATAAGATTCGCGCCAACCAGCTGATTGGCGTTCTCTTCTACGCTCGATACGTTCGCGGGGGAAGAAGAGTTTGTTTGAACACTGACACGCAGCTGGAGAGTACATGCTCCGATGAAATTTCGAGATTAATTTTCAGATTTGATTTCACTTCGAGTGCCGATAAACCGGTTTCGATTGTGTAGAGGGGAAGTTAATAGACGGGTGAAGTTTCTTCTTCTTTTCTTTCTTTTTTTTGTGTGGAATTTTTGGAGAAGTTTTGTTATGTAGAAGTTGTAGAGATAATGGGTTTGTTTACACACGTGCGTTTAAAGGACAACGAATGAAATTGTGCATGCTTCTTTGTCTTCTTGAAACGATTTCGCGTTATGTAAACGTTGCAGCTGCCGTGCATGCTTGCTGAATGACATTTTCGTAATCGGTTTGACACGGTTTTTTTTTTAAACAATTTCTTCTCTTTCCATGCACTGTTGTTGGTTTAAATGTCTGAGATTCGACGACGGAAACGTTCGAGAATGAACGGATGAAAATTTTCAGTTTAATAGTAAATTATATGTTTAATCTGCTAGATTCATAAAAGGAGAAATAATGCGAAAATAGTGTCGTAATTTTAAATAGAATGCGAGATTTTCATGGACAATAATATCTCATGGCAAAAATGCAATTGTTAAATTTATTATTTACAAATCTCTATTTTTCATTTGCGTTATTCTATATTTTTTGATATTTCTAAACCATATTCTACAGAAAATTAATAATTGCCAAAAATATTTTTGCTCGATATTGTCGTTTGAAATTTATTCAAATACGAGATACTTATTTTTAGTTACTTTTCACGATAAGAAACACAAGCCGGATAATTGTTGAAAGGTATTTGTAATTGAGCTTATTGCAACAGAACCTCGACGTTAACGAGCTTCCTGTAAAAACGCAATTCACCTATCGCTGCGCGAATTGTCTTTAACTATTGCAAATGAGTTTGCTCGCGAATAGATTTTGTGCTAATTGTGCACCGCGGGAAAATCACGTACTTCCGTTATCTGTCAAAAACATCATTTTACAAAAGTCTCTTTAAAAAGTTGTCGATGGTAACCGAGGTATTGGTTAAACATGCTGTCTCTTCGTGAAGTTTTCAATAGCAAATAAAGACGAAGCTAAATCACACGAAAAATTTCCTTACACGTATGTCAACGATTGATTAAAATGCACATTCGAAGTGCAGTAATAGGACAAAAATTTCTCTCATAGGAAATGGGAAAAGAAATAGTTTCATTTCTAGAAGGAAATCATTTTAAAGAAAAGAAATTGGAAGAGAAATAATTTTATTTCAAAAAAGAAATAAAGAAAGAAAGAAATTATTTCTGAGAAGAGATAACTAATTAAAATTATTTCTTTCTCTAAGGTTAAACAGCTCTTTTTTTTCGCGCGCAAACTTAAAGGGCAAAGAGTTACAATCACAAGTGTGCAAAATATTTGGAATGAAAAACGCCTGTGAAGATCGTTTACGAATTTCTTACTTTATTTACATAAGAACAGATTTCCTTGGAGATATCAGTCGCGTGCCGGTCGCGTGTACCGGAAGTCAACTATCGTTGTTCTCGTGAAACTGTGTAACGGGCAAATGTTAAAATGTAGCTTTATCGTGGAATGCGGTTAACAGGTGGGCATATAAGAAAACGACGCGCTGGGAGGTATATATGATAATCGAGGACTTGCATACGATTATATGCGTGATAAGGGGCACCTTGAACGTGCAATTTTTCTTCTTTTTTTCTTTTGTTATTGAATATTTAGAGAGTCATCGAAGGAAATTTCGTTACGGAGCGAAGTGTGTATTGAATTTTTACCATTGCGGTCTCATTCGAACATGTCGGAGATCTCTTTGTTGAACGACACGAGATAATGTTTGCAATTTTGATGCAAATTTGCAGTTACGAAATGGTCTCTGGGATGGAAAAGGATGTGAGGAAATTTTCTCGAAGGTGTACTGTATTATGGTAATTATATGTTTCACTGGAATTCTTTTTGCACATTCCAGAGTAAAGTGTCATCCACGTTAACACACTTTTCAAAGGTTTTTAAGGAAATGTAGAGGATATGTGAATGACTATAACAATTTAAAAATACATTTTTTCTGATTAATAGCGTTCGAATGAAGTTTTAGTTTTGTGTAGTAATGAAGAAACGAAGAATTCTTCGTTTTTAATAAAATACCGTGTTTCTGTTAATTTGGTATTGGAGAGGGAAAGAAGAAAAGAAATTCTACGCCTCTGTACAAACTAACGTTAAAATAACTGTAGACCGTGCAGTTTGATGCTTCTGGGTTATTACTGTGCTTGGCATAATTCAGAAGAAATTCATTTGCGAATGCTAGACTTCGAAAACGGTGAGAAATTAGTGTTTGAAAATTTTGCCAGTCATAAAAATAAAATATTTTCTTCTTCGGAAGAAATTCGTCTAAGAATGTTACACTGGACAATATGGGAAATTAATATTCTAAAATTTTGCCAGTGATAAAAGTAAAATATTTTCTTCGGAAGAAGAAATTCTTAACATTTAAGAATGTTACACTCGAAAATATAAGAAATTAGTGTTCTAAAACCAAGGGTAAAAATAAGATTTAAATTTAAAATTATTCAAAATTGAATGAAAATTATTATTCTAAAATTGTTCAAAAATTAAATTAAAATGCGACACAATTCACGTGTAAAACAATTATTCCTCCACATTCATTTAACGAAATCGCGAACTCAGAACTATCTCAAAATTGCAACGATTTAAAAATCCTATCGAACGTTTAGCAAAAGGCGTTCACACAAGAACAAAGCATTGTGCAAGATTTAACAATCAGTTCTCGTATGACCTTTCCTGAATCACGCTCGTGTGAATTTGCACAAAGCAGACACGACAATTCGTGCAGATATTACCCTGAGATATTGGCATTTCCAGTCGAAAGATCCTGGATCTCCACGGATCAACCGTATTCGTCGATCTCGGTACACCTCCTAGTCCATTATAATTTCAGCTTAACTCGCTCGATGGTTTTATTCGTGACTCCTTTCCATCCCTTGCCTTACGTCCGATTATTTATCGGCCACATCGTAAAACTTTTCTCCTCCCTAACATTAGAAAGTCCTACGTAGATCCTGTACAGTGGGAACATTCAAGGATATGTCTTCGATCTGCGAAGTTGTAATTTTAGTAGTATTAGGACACAGAAAGTATCAGAAAATTTAAATTACACTTCTTAGGCAAAGTTAGTATCATACGAGCCACTCATTCAAGCTTAAAGTGACTAACTCTGTGGAATTAAATTTATTAAAGAACAGTGGTAGAAATTGGCCAATTTTGGACTTGGCTGACAAATTTTTTACAGGTTTTGTACAGAAAGTATCAGAAAATTTAAATTACACTTGTTAGGCAAAGTTAGTATCATACGAGCCACTCACTCAAGCTTAAAGTGACTAACTCTGTGGAATTAAATTTATTAAAGGACAATGGTAGAAATTGGCCAATTTTGGAAAATGTTTGATTGGTCATAGGCTTTAGGGAATTCGAAATGCATAATTGTTTATCTTGGAGAGGACGGGAGAGTTGTAAAAAATGAGCGTAAACTTTGAAATGACGTCGTTAGTGTAACTCATCAGATTAATCATTATCTTCTTCGTTGACAAAATAATCGTTTGGGAAATCCGCTGGAAAATTCATCGTAGATTAGTGTCGATCGTAGCTGAAAAATCACCAAGTGCTTTGATACTAAAATTGGAAGAATTTAATCATTTAGAGTTAATTGCACGGAAGAGTTAATCATTTCGGCTTCCAAGTGCCTCGGTTACTGTCACCTTCGCTAAAGTAGTATCTTCGTTCAAAATTAATCGCGCACGTTATGTCTTTGGGAAATCCCCCGGAAAATTCATCGTCGAAAATTCGTAGTCGTAAGACTACCAAGTGCTTTGATAAAAATTGGAAAATTAGTGTTTGATACTAAAATTCAGGAAGTAAGAATTTGAAAAAGTGAAGTTAATCATTTTGGCTTCCGAGTGCCTCAGTTACTGTCACGTTCGCTAAAGTAGTGTCTTCGATCGAAATTAATCGCGTACGTCGTATCGCAGCCATAATTAACGCGTATTTTAGAATCTCGCGACAATCGATCATTTTGATACAATTCGATCCTGTGGATTTACCGAGATGAATTGCGACGGTGGTAAAAAGACAGACAAACGGATGAAAACAATTCTTAAAATCAGCGAGGATTTGCGAAACTTCTGCTTCCTGCAGATTGCCCAATCTGTTATCAATTCGCGAGGAACTTATATAGCTTGTTTAACTATCCTCAGTAATGATCTCGTTGCAACATTCGATGAGAACAGAAGGAAAAATCTTGACGCAGATAATCGTACCGAACTGTTGCAATAAAAGAGGATGTTAAGCTCTGTCTCGTATCGAATTGTTGAATTCAACCTTGAAATATAGCACGTTTTACGTGCAATTATAAATCATTTCTTTTTTTCTTCGACGAATGTTTATAATTTCGTTGCACAATCTGTCGATAAAATGTCGTTAGGAGGAAAGTTTAGATGTTATCTTCGTGTACAACTGATGTAACAACAGTCGTTGGATCGAGCGTTGCATTCATAGTTCGCACAATCTTGTTAATTAGCGATGCTACATACACTACAAGTATATGTTTCTCAATGACTCTAAACGCGGCATTTCGGATATTTTTAGATTTGTTCAGATTATCCTGATTTCAGACGTTTTGTAATCTTCACAGGTCCGTGTTTACAATTTTAGAGACTTTAGCAACATAAAGTCTTAAATAAATTTGGCGTTTTCGTTTTTATATTACGAATTTAATATTCAAAAGCAAGCATTTCATTTTGCAACTGTAACTGTTTTTTATTTTGTGAATAAAGCGAAGGGTAAGCTTCGAAAATATCGCCCCAGCTCGCGTTTAACGTGCCTTATAGTAAATTTCACCCTAAACCTTTGTATGATAAATACAGCAATTTAATTAGAATTAATTATATAGATGCACACAATGATTTTTCATACAATATTAGGTCATCTCGTAAATTCGTGCCAAAGGCGAAAAATATTTGACTGAAAATTCAAGGAAATACTATAGTAACGACATAATTGCCTCACAAAAAGAGAAGAATAGAAAATAGTCGAGGAATGTTCTTTAGAAAAATCGATTTCAATTATAAAATTCCTCAGAAACTTATGGGATAACCTCGTAAATACAGAATTTGAATTGGAATTAATTCTACAGATGCGTGAAATATTTTCTAATCTTTATTTATGTTACATTACGAAATTGTTTTTACACATTATTCTCCTCAAGTGATTCTCATAGATATCGTTCTCCGAACGATTTTTTAATTAATTTGCTATCAGCCATTATCTATTTCGCCTCTCGCGTCGCCAAAACATCCTTCCGGGCTATCGATCACAAAATTTACAGGCGTAAATGCCACGAAATTATGGTAATAATCTAAGTGATAAGCAAACAGTGGCTGTCCCCGACGCAATGGAAAATTTTACCCGATAAAAGCAAGATCATCGTTGATTGTTACGTTGTTGCTGTGCCTGTCGGTAAAACCAAGCCGCCGGTACAGGACTTACAACGTAAGAGTTACATTAACAGTTATTTTCTTTCGGCGTTATCAGCGCCGAGTGAAATATATCGCGGAGATTTTCATCGTTTCAAATTGCTATCGTCATTATGGCCACGCTCTTTTTTTCTTTTTTTCGCAAACTGACGTAAGAGATGGACACACTAATGTAATCTTGCGAACAGGCAGATTATCTGTCTCGATAACGATTTTCGCAGTGATTCGTCCGAACGTAGAATCGATTCGTGAGAATTTTATTGCATACAGAAAGACACCCGTGAATTAAGGACGATCGATAAGAAGCTAGAGCGGACGATAATTGTTAAAGGTTCGATTCTAGCGAATTGTTTTTGACGATTGATAAGGATCGCGTACGTTTGAAGCAATTCTGGCTGTTTTCGTTTGGATACATCTTACTGCAAAATTTACTATTTCTGTGAGATTATTCTGTTAAATATTCAATTTCTATGTTAACACGTTAAGCGCAGCGTCAGTCCGCGGTGACTGACAGTGAACTTTCCGTTTAGACGGCGTCGGTCCGTGGGGACTGACAGTGAACTTTTCGTTTAAGCGGCAGTATCATGTTTAAAAAATAAATGTTATGCACGTCTCCTTCTTTTTTTTGCAATTTATGAATACTTCTTCTACCAATCCGGATTGGTATTTCTTCGTCCGAATGCCGTGCGAGTGCATTTGTTATCTTCTGTTTATACTCTATAACCGAACAGCTCGCGAAGTGATCGCCGCTGTGTGCCGCCTGAACGGAAAGCAGAGCGAAATCGGCTCCGCGCTCAACGTGTTAAGTTTGTTTTCTTAATATAATTTTTCTGAGATGATTGTACAAATTTTGTTATTTTCAAAAATATTTAATCGTTGGAAGTAGTTGCTATTTTGTTTAACAGTGAGCATAGATAAGGATCACAGACATTTAAAAAATAATTACAGCATGTGGCAATTTTCATTTTAACACATTCTACTGAAAATTTGCTGTATTTGTGAATTTGTTCTGTGAAATATTTAATTTGCATATTAAGCTTGTTTTTTTCATATAATTTTTCTCAGAAGATTATACAAGTTTTATTCATTCGTTCATTTTATTCAATAGCATAATGCTACTATTTGAATAAAAAGAAAAATTCGTAGAGTAACAATTATGCAAATTAAATGTCACACGTATAAAAACAGTTTACAAGGATTTTAAATAATCGATATGTACATATGTTGGTTCAGATTCATCATGGGGAAAAATACAAAGGAACAACAAGCGACAGGCAATCCTATGCAGGAGTTTAGCAGCAGGTATACATCTATAACAACTCTATAACACTTTAATCATCGAATTAAAACACACGACGACAAGTGAATTGTCAAAATTTAATAAAGATATAATTTAATAGTTATGGATTATTAATTGTGTAAGCATTAACGTCGATTAACATTATCTCTATCGTGCTTTTTATCATTTTCTATCTTCGGTAAATTAGTTATAGTTGGCGTTGTTCAGAAAATTTATGATATAATGCAATTGTTTATTTTAATTTTTTGTAAAATATAGAATAATTTTGTAAAGAATAGGGTAGTGTTGAATATAGTACACAATTAGAAAGTAATCTATCCAGAATTCTATATGGTGACGTATTGCTTCTTTTGTCATCAGCACAAAAATAGCCAGTGTCGTAATTAGCGAATACAACGAAAAGGATGAACTGTATAATCCCTTCGAGTACCGTGAGAAGAAAAATACTAATTCGTAAGTTTCCTTTCTTTGTGTTAACGTAAGAAAAATATAAATATTTTGTGACGTATAAATCGTTCTGAAAGAATAAGCGTTACTTTGAACATTATTTTCCTTCTTTCTTAGGACATTTAAAAGTTTGTACACATTTCTGAAAATACTTTCCAATTTTATTTTACTATATTTGTCAAATGGGAAAAATAAACTTTATTTTGTGCAGTTAAAAAGTGACTTATTAATTTTAAATATACTATGTTTTATTAGCTCGAGCTTAAAGTGTTTTTATCTACTTATATTTTGTTTCAATAATATATGTGATTTGATAAAGAACATTGTATTTTATTATATGTATATTTACGCGAGATGAATCATTTGTGAGATGACGGATATTGAGTTTGCACCGTAAATTTATTTTTATTTCAAATTTTATATTAGTTTTTGGAGTTCGATGTTCTCCGAGCCACCGGTTTGTAAAAGGACTTTCATTGAAATCTCCATTCTTGACGATGAACAAAGTCATCTTCGTTCCCCACTTAGCATACCTACCCAACGTGGCTCTGTATAACTCCTTTTTCTTTCTAAAAAAAAGCCGAGAAACTCGTTGAAATGACAACTCCCGAAACCGTCGGAGAGCAAAAAGAAAATTCGAAGACTGATCTGAGAAAGATTCTTAGAAGTGTCGGTCGAGAGTATTTTCAGAAATGAGACTTGAAATAATTTTTTAGATTACAAATCTTCCTTTCAGAATTGTTTCTTAGAATCAAGTACAATAGACCCTCCTTATAACACATTTGTACAAATATAGATTATGTGTGCTAATTGGAAACACGTATTTATAAAAGATGCAAGCATTTGTTACACAGAATGTAAAATAAATATTTAAGCTGTAATAGTAAAATAATTTTTGTTTCACTTAAAATACAAGCAAGTATTAAAATTAAAAATATTTTGTCACTTCGTATTTTAATTGAAGTAAAAACAAAGTTACACTTCTATTTATATTTGTTTTATAATTCTAGTTCTTCTAATTGTTTCGTCTAATATTTCATTATTGCAGCGATAAACTTTCCCTATGAACACGGTTAGTTCCTTATAATATGCAACAATAAAACAATTACTGTATAGGGTGCAGCCGAAAATATTGTACAAGCGTGCAACAGGTGGTTCCTTCTGAAAACGTAAACAATGAACGTAGAATAAAATTTATTCCTCCAAGGCTTAGTTTTTGAAAAAATTGGGCTTGAAAATCGTTTGCACAAGGACTCTAGTTTCAATAAGTCCTTTGTCTTTGCGCTTTGTTAAATCCAGTAGCTCGTAAATGTCGTCCGACGAACCGAATCCTTTTAGCGATATAAGTGCAAACGTAAGCAACAGATTTTCCAAACACCATTTTCTCGAATAAACAAATTATATTCTTTATTTCTTATTTATTTCTACACAAGGAATCACCTCCTACCCATGTGCACAATACTTTCAGCCGCGCTCTGTACAGTACAATGTACCATCAACAACAGAAACTTAGCCATACTGTGAAGATGCAAACTTATGTACCGTGTCGTACGAACACTGTCGCAATTTCTGCGTGCTGTTATACGTGGGTCTATTGTACAACCCACCAACTCACAGAAAAACCAGAAGAACCAAAAAAAAAAAAAATGTTAAACAATCGTTCCTTGTTACAGAGACTTAGGCTCTCTAGCTCACCTACTGAAGTCATCCCTGGGCACAGGGATTCTTGCCATGCCGAACGCGGTTAAGAATGGCGGACTCGTGGTCGGTGGAATCGGCACGATACTAATCGGAGTGATATGCGCGCATTGTGTCCACATACTGGTTCGTTCGTCCCACGTGTTGTGCAAACGATTGAAAAGGCCTCAGATGACGTACGCCGAGACCGCAGAGGCTGCGTTCCTTTCTGGACCGAAATCGTTGAGGCCTTTCGCGAACGCCAGTCGAATATTCGTGAATGCCGCGCTATGCGCAACCTACATAGGTGGATCATGCGTGTACATAGTCTTCATATCGACGTCGATCAAACAGGTAAGCTTCTTTTCTTTTCTTCACCTTCAATTCTGCGTATCGTAGAATATTTTGCGAAACAACGTGTGCATGTTTTTCGATCGCATCTTCGATAGAGGCGGCATGAGTGCCGACAGGATAACGATACCGACGACAATTCCGAGATGCCAGAAACGCGTTAGTTAACGTCGTTGAGTCGAATGCTGAGATAATCATCGATGATTCGAATGTCAGGCTGATAAAATTGATTTGTGTGTTGAAAGAATCGTCGTGATCGATGAGCTCTCCTTGCTAACGAGTGGAAATATTTTGCAAACGAGTGTGTTTAGCTTGTGTATTATTCAGATCGGCTGGATAAGTTGGCATACTGATCGTTCGTTTTGCCACTTAACTTGGACGAATTACTGGAGGAAACAAGTACTTACATCTTGTGTTATGTACGGAGATAATTTACTTGGAAGATTCCTTTCCTTTTTATCGTATTGTTCAAAATATTTTTCGCGTCTAACGGAATTTCAATTGATTCGTTAGATTAGTTGTTTACACTTATACAATATAATTTCATTATCTCTGTTATTTTCGTTGTCAGTGGAGTCGTCAAAATTTTCTTATTTTCTTCTTTTAGTCAATATTTGCTCCTATATATGTAGAGTGAACCGCATAGCATGATTATCTCCATTATTTTCGAATTGATCAGACGGTAAAGATTTAATCCTCCATAAAATTAATCAATGTTAATTACTGTAAAGTTGCATTGTTAATTGGTCAACGTCGACAAAATCACCGATTTCACAATTCCTGTGGTCAAACAATCGTGCCATTATGATCTATAATTTTCCACTTCAGCATCGTAATTAATTTCGACTCGATTCGACAGTAATTCCGATTTTTCACCGTTGTTACTTTTCCAATTTCATTTGCTTCTTTCGTCAGTTAGCACAATTCCCTGTATCTATTTTACAATCTACGGTGTCTGTAAATTACAGTCACCGACTCAACCGCATGAAAATGTGGATTGGTAAAACCAGTCTAATCTGCGATCGTCTCGTTTCCTTCGTCCTCGTTCATCGTCACACGTGCATCTTTCTCCTTTTTTCCTTGATCACAATTGAAAATCTGTGTCAACGCGTAGCCCCAGGACTCGTTCTGACTGGTTTGACCTGTAAAATACAGCTCGCCTGTGAACAGAAACTGAGTACGCTTCGTTTGAACGGACTTCGTGTAACTAATCGAATCCTTGAACGTTGAGGAGAATTTACGATAAGAGAAAATACGAATTAATTTACTACGTGTGTCACTTCTTTTTCTCTGTCCGAGCAATTTTTCATTTCTCTTATCTTATTGAACCGTGTTCAAATAACGTCAATCAGCGTGAAATGTAATTCACAAAGAGTCCATTTCTTTCGAAACCGAATTCAATTTAAACTGAAATTCAGTCATCGTTAAGTCCAATTTTCTTTCGTTACGCAGGCTGGGCCATCTAATTATTTTCTGCAGTTATGGTCGTACGGGAAATTTTGATGTGTAATTTAAGCGGTTTCGAAGGGTGAACTGTGATTTTAAAATGAAATTCAGTCATTTGATCACGTGTGTGTTCAGTTTGAAATTAAACCTTACGATAAGTAAACGTAAAAATATGCAAACCCTGTGTATTATATCTGGAAACATAGCCCGAGACAGTGTTCTATTAACTAGAATTTAAACGAGTACAATTAAAATGTACATCATTAAAATAATCACTCTGCAAAAATTGAAATTAAAAAATTCCATAAAACTATAATATTTGGATCTTGCGCCATCTCATTAGCCTAAAGAGTCCAATTCTAATTGCTAATATTATACGAAAGGAAAGATCTCTGTTAACCCCTGTTTTATTTCTTTCGAAAAATTTGAAAAAATGAAGAAAGAGGCAATCTTAATTTTCTTTACAAAACGAACGTTCGTAAAGTGGAACTGTGGATGTCATTGCACCATAGGATGAAAGTGCTTGCGACCTGTGTTACATTACAGCTTCATCGTGACACTCTCGTTACATCATTTATATCACATTCCATTTACGAAATTTCTCTTCGCTGGATTTCAGGTTGCCGATTATCGGAGCGGCATGAATATACCAATTCGCCTGTACATAGTGACACTTATCCCCGCTGTGTTGCTGCTGGGTCAGGTGCGAAATTTGAAGTACATGGTGCCGTTCTCCATGGCCGCCAACGCGAGCATGATGGCCGGTTTCGCGATAACCCTTTACTACATCTTCAACGGGATCGAAATGTCACCGGACGTGAGAATGGTCCCGTACATCCAGCATTTTCCCACATTTCTCGCCACTGTGCTGTTCGCCATCGAAGGAATCGGTGTTGTAAGTATGACAAAGTACATTTTTCAAATACTTCTTTGTTTTTCGTTAACTCCATTTTTGTATTTACAATCTGTCAAGATTTTTGAAGTATCGATAAAGGTTTCGATCAGGGCTCTTAGTGCTGCTCGGATTACTCTCTAAATTTTGGAAATGTTTTCCTTTTTGCTGAAAGAAATTAGTCTATTTTCTTCTGTCTTCGGAGTAGCATAACTCCGAGAAGAAAGTAGTGATTGTAACGAATATACTTTCAAGAGACAGGTGAAGAAACAGTCTTTCAGAACCTATGCGAATTTCGCGTGCTTTCGTTCAGTTTTATTTGTTTTAACGTATTTGAACTGGGGCTCTTACTGAGAGTTTTGAGGCTTTCACAGCCTGGGATATTACAGTTTATACTGTTCGAAGCTTTCGGGTGTAAGCTGTGTGCGGTAGCATAAGTTTTCTAGTGTTTTGTAAGCATTGCAAGCATTGTTTCATCAGGAGTCTGAGGATGCGCTGATAAATGCTTGCGAAACGTTGAGAGAGTTTCCCAGAGTAGGATAGGTAGAATAAGTTATCCTACTGGACACGGTTTACATCCGAAGACCTCAAACAAATAGGGCTCTCTTTTTTAATTGGCTCTAATTTAGACCCAAATTTCCGAGTTACTCACGTGATTTGGATTGGGATATCCGGATGCATTCGTATTACCCTCGCGATGAGTCTATCAGATATCTGCCAAATAGCAGTGTCGAACAGTTTCCTATACCGACTAATTTCTGCATCCTTCGATCTTCATTCTTTACCTAAACTTGCTTTCTTTAATCTAAATCCAGATAAGAAAAGCTTCATATTTGAGTATTATTCTTTAAATTAACAAAGAAAATCCGGATCCTCGAGTACTCAGACTCGAATTTCGACGCTAAGTTCAGACTATAAGAAGACATAAATAACGAAATGATTTAAATAACGTAACTTTTATGATAAGTCGGCGAACAATTAATATTACAGGTGATGCCTGTGGAAAACACGATGCAAAATCCACAACACTTCCTCGGATGTCCCGGCGTTCTTAACATAACAATGTCGATAGTAGTAGTATTGTACGCTGTGTTAGGTGTGTTTGGTTACTTGAAGTACGGAGAGGCAGTTATGGGCAGTATTACACTGAACATACCAATACAGGAGGAGTAAGTATTTTCAACAGTTCAATAATTTTCTCTTTTTTCCTTTTCCTAATAACAATATGCAAATCCGTTGTTTTACAGACTGGGACAAGCCGTGAAAATGCTTATCGCTTTGGCTGTTCTATTCACTTATGGGCTGCAGTGTTTCGTGCCACTGGACATTATATGGAACTCCATGAAGGACAAGTGTAGCCATAAGTATCAAGGCTTGTGTCAAATAATGTTGAGGATATGCACGGTTCTATTCACAGGTAAGGAATTCTCCTCGCATTTTTCAGTATATTGCACGTTTTAATTTTAATTTTAATTTCATTGCCGTTTCTTTAAGCGAAACCCTAGATACATCGTGTCACTTCAAAAAATTATGATTATGAATCTTGAATCATGGATCTTCAGTCTCGTTACTCCAAATTTACAAAAATCATCAATCTTCGAATTGAAAAATTCCTCGGACACTACTTTTACAGTGTCTTCATTTTACAATCATTTATTTACTTAACAGCAATTGACAGTTTCAAATAATAACCACACATCTTTACAATTATCAAAAAATACTTTCGTCTACTTCGTTTCTTCAAAATAACAACTCGAACACCTTGCGACCTTCTCTCATCTCTTATCAATTAAATTACATATAACAATCGTCTTCGACTGTTTATTAGAGCTGTTAGCAACAAAACTGCAGTTTTCATATCGTCAAGATAACAAGTTACGAATACTTCTCCGGTTGTTACTGGTCTAGGCCACTGCAGCAGACACGTGTGGTACTTTCATCAAGGAAGAAAAGAGAGAAACGCGAGTTGTTGCGGAGCGATAGAGGTAGACTGGGCCAGGGAAATACCCGTTGGTCCTGTAAACCGTATGACTCACTGTCAGTCGGCAGCACCGTTCAATGACTCGCGCTCATTTAACTCATTGAGAATCTCTACCATGATGATACTCCACGTTCTTGTTTACAATCGCTAAAGGCTTGAACTTTTTCGACACGCGGTAAATTCTAATTTACATGGGAAATTACAATTCCCACTGGACTACGCTGTTGTTGCATAACGACACGTCACCGAACGGTTGATATTTAAAAATTGTTTTGCTTCTTTTTTTTCACTACCTGTTCTGCTGGACGGTCTGTCCTGAATCGTAATGGGGAATTAATGCTAATTCATCTTCTCACTCACGTTTAGCGGAAGGTGCAACGTGACAGCGTGTCTTCTAAATAAATGTATCCAGATTAAGTCTCGCTGAGGTTCGAACAATCAACTTTTAAGTTTCGGCTTTTATTGTTTGATCTGTGAATAATTCTTTCTAATAAAAGAAAAAAATACCGAAACAAATTCTATCGATCTATAAATTGAACAAAATATTTTCCATAATTTTGTATTTAAATCTAGACACACGTGCTTACTTCTGATTAAGTAATTAAATTTTGAATGTTGTGATTAGATCTATGAATTTTATCGTAATTAAAATTCAATTTTGGGTCAAAAGAGACCCGAAGACCGGACTAGGCTTAATATCTACATTGATAGGGTTACAATAGAGACCGCATAGGGTTAACATTTAAATCACTTAGGGTTCACATTTAACACAAGCTTCTATCATCTATTTAGCTTAATTTGATAGAATTTCCTTTGACGAAAGTTTTCTGTGTTTCACTTTTAGTTGGCGTTGCGTTGCTAGTCCCGGAACTTGAGCCATTTATCTCTCTGGTCGGTTCAGTATTCTTCTCCATACTTGGGGTCACAATCCCAGCAACGGTGGAAACTATTTCGTGTTGGGATGGCCACCTGGGTGCTCACAAATGGAGACTTTGGAAGAACGGCTTTCTTGTCGTATTCTCGCTTCTGGCGTTAATATTCGGCTCGTGGATCTCCGTCACAGACATAATCGAATTGTATCGTTGAGGATGAATGATCTAAATAGACGTATATAACTTATATATACGTGTGCGAACAAAGACTTATCGTTAGTGTAAAATAATGTTTACAGTATCACCGAGACGTTACAACTCTTTTACACATTTCTCGATACTTCGTGCGCGACAATTTTGACACGTTTATCGCTAACGCACAAACCGTTTCATTGCGACAGAATATTTATTTGCAAGAGTATTCGTGTACATTGTGTATTTATTTCTCTTTAAGCATTTTTTTTTTTTTTTTTTTGTATAACATTTGAGAACATTTTAATTTCACTTTTCATCCTTGTAGAATTTGATGTAACTGTTGTTTTCTTTTTTTAGAAACATAGATTAATAGGTAAGCTTTATTTATTGTATACAGAATTAAGAGGAAACTTTTTTTTTCTTAATATTCCGAGGAACACGGAGTGATATGCTTTGATAAAAGTTTGCCAATTAAAGTAAGTCGGTGTACATATTCTTAATGTAGTAGTGGTTGCACTTTACGTTAGCTAGTGAACTTCTACGAAGAAAAAGGAATAGTTATTTTCTTATATATAAAAACTAATAAACAAAACACAGAAGTTTACCTGGCTTATTTGTATAAGTTTGTATAAATAATTTTACATTTTCGATTAAGCGAATTAATGCTATTGCTACTACGTTAAATCATAAGAATATGTAAATAATGTTCAATATTGTCAACTGTAAATTTAATGTATTATAATGTACAATGCATTAAAACTATACATTCTTTTTTTTAAATCTAGCTACTTTCAAGTCAATCGTTAAATTAGAATTATTAAATTATTCTGGATCTTCTGTTGTCTATAATAACAGAGTAACGATCATCGTTCAATGTGGGTGCCAACTGTGCAATTAACGTAATACTACTTTTTAATCTAACTTTTCAAACAATTCAACAATTGGTCACTGTCTTTTTCTTATTTAGACACATTTTTCCTTAATTTTTATACCGACTGAGGAGCTTGTTTTCGTTACCGCCATTTTGTTACCGCTGAAATAGCGCAAAGGCGTTGAAATCACTGGAAGGCGTGCGCGTGCCGTCGTGGAGCTATGTGCGCGTCGCTGTCCGATCGCGAGTACGACGATATCAGTATTGACTCTGCGGGTGAAATCGTCGGTTTTACTTTGCGTTTCGTACAATCGCAGAAAAGCGTGCTCATGAGAAGAATGTAAATCCCAACGATCAAAGGAACTTTCTCCATAAACCATATTATATTCGCCATACGAAGTATTTGATACGTGAACGATATGACGGCTAACGTAGGAGTGTTTCCCTGTAAAATATTCGTTAGGCGAATTATTCTGTTATTATTGCAACGAAAAGTGTGATTACACTTTGACACGTGATTTTCTACTATTAAACTCGAAATCGTTCAATATTTAGCGATAACAAAGGCTGACATTTTTTTTAGGAACAGAAAGAGAGGAAATGAAATGTTTTGATTCAGTCGACAAGTTTCATTCTGATGAAAGAAACAATTCTTTATTTGTTAATCCTTTCCTGACTGAATTGTTTTTTTTTTTTTTAGAACTTTTTGTTTACTCATCGATCATCGCGTTTGCAATACTAAATTGAGATCAGTGTTTGTTAGAGAACTCAATTGGTCACGAAAGGGTTAATCAGTAGAAATTCAGTTTTTAAGGATAATATACACTGTTCGCGAAAAAAGTTGCAATGCCTAGAAGTTAGGTTTGCACAAATCTGGAAATCACTTATGTTTCTCGGGCTACTCTGAGGAAAAATGACCAAATTTTAATTATCCCATTGTGTTGGAATTTTTTTTCACGAGCAGTGTTCTATGAAAGTTGAATTACTTCACTTCAGTCGTTTGCATTGTCAAAGTTTGAAATTTAAAAGGAAAAAAAGAAAGGAGAAGAATATAACGAAAGAATCTTACATTTTCACACCATAACATAGGAAAGTATCCCTCGCTGACATTGGAAAGTAGATCTACTCGTTGTTTCGTCAATTTTAGATTTAGTTGCATCTTCTTCGATCCAGAAAGAGGTGTTCCAGTATTTGGCTCGATAATAATATAAGTTTCGTGAATACGTTTATTGGGCCTCAAACCTCGTGCATACGTTAAAAGTTCTGGATCGGCGTGTAAAAAGTGCGGTTCCGAAAAAATTATAGGCACTTTCTGTAACGTGTTAAACGTTAAATAAAGAGACTGCTTTTAAGTCGTTCATTTTGAGAAAACACAATTTCGTTCAAAATTAAACATTGTTATTTCAAATAATTTTCAGAGCAGATTCATTTGAGTCTTCATTTTTCTTGAAGGAATTAATGCTCTCGTGACACCTTGGCAAAAGTGTTCTCGAAAATTATGAAAATTATTTGAAATAAAAATGTTTAATTTCAATGGAGTTACTTTTTTTTTTCAAAATGGAAGTTTGAAAGCAGGTGAACTTTCAGGATGGCCTGATAATATTACCTGGCATTCTGAGACATCCAGTAGACCTTGCGGCAGACATTGTGGAACATGATTTAGTGGCAGACAATAACATTCCGTTTCATTTAGATCCCACATCCTTTCCTTCATGACGAATCGTGATCCCAACAATCCGTGCACCCAAGCGTCACCTTCGTAATCTGCTTCTATACTTCTGCATATTTTAATTTTACAAATATCATAAATATAAGAAAAATTGTAATTTATGTATTTGGGTAAAATTTCATGATTCACAAATTTTTACAAAATCTGAAAAATTATTCAATACTACGATTCGTGTTTTGGAGCATACATAGCTATTGGTCCGAAATAAATAACATTTATGGTAAAATAGAACGAAGTGCCAGCTGGAAAATATAATTTTTAACAAGGTCTGCTTTTGTGGTAGATAGTGAAATTTCATTTCATATTGAGGATTCAATAGTGGTTTTGCAGTACCTGCATAAATCAGGTATAAATGTTGAAACGAATGGCAATGGTTCAATTAATGGCGGCCAAGTGATGGTATCACTTCCTCTTACTGTATTGCATTTGTCAGAATTCCATACTGTTTGTACTCTTTTTCCTTTGTAAGATGTTGTATCACCTAATCTGGTTATATTTTTGAGACCTCTGTTCATCGAAAATGGTCCGCGGTAAGTATCATTCATCTGGCAAACAGGAAAGTTTATGTTACTTCTGTACGTATTATTTTCGATTGTCCACGAAAATCATAGTAATTAATCAAATTCTTGATTATTAGAATAAGATTTTAGTAATAAAGGAACTTATTTGTATCTTCACTTAGAACGCATGCATAACTATTGAAATTTGTTGCTGCAATAGTTACAGTTTTCGTAATAACATATATTTGACTTAATTAAATATTGAAAAATATTTCACGCATTCTATTTCTATCCAAAGTTAACTCTTACTCTCTGGAACAAACTGAGAAGATAAACGTCCTCTCTGTCGGTCGTTCTCAGGACTGGGGGTACATTAATTTTCAGAGTCTTGCATACTTTGTCCAATTCAGGATATTTCTTTAAGTTACACGTTACTTTTAGTCCGTCGAAAAGTATGTCGGTAGGACGTGCTGTTAGAAAAATACTACTACGATTTGGAAACAGTTTTGGTATGTGGTTACCATACTTTGCCAGAATGTCAGGAGGTAAGGTAGCTAGCTGCGAACACGTAATTAATTCATAATTACATATTTAACATATTCCGTATATCACGTAGCCAAATATTTCGGGGATCTTGTGAAACAAGCATTTTTCTAAAGTTACGAAATGGGAAACTAAATTTTGTAAATTTCGAAAAGTTTCAAAATACAGAAATA